TACTCCATACAATACAATTGATTAGGTTGCTGATCATCAATAGCTATCACATTCTAGCTCTATCCATCTGAGATTACATCAGAGAGGTTACTTACTCTGATTGATGGAACAGTTGTTCCCAAGCTTTTTAGTTATTTAAGAAATATTTTTTGTTTCTTAACAAAGGCCGAACCATATGAAATTTGCTGGTATTGGTAAGTCAAAAAGAGTCAGATAATAGGCAACCTCTTATGCTTCAACTAATGGCAAACTACAATCATGGGGCTGAGTTTAATGAGTCTAATTCCTTTTCTTAGGGTTGGTGGTGGGCATATGTGTATGTGTCTTCATGAGTGTGAGGGGCAAGCCTGGAAACGATGTTCCCAGCTACCTTTCAGGAAACAGCCAAAGGTAGTTGATGTTACCCAAGGTCCATCCACTCATCCTCCATTCTTAATGAGGGATAAGCTAAGGAGGGGACTTGAGGTTAAGGAGGAAGAACAATCCTTTGTTAGGTGCAACAGAGTTAGAATGTGTCCAGAAGCCTACTAGGAACAATTTTAGATAGGCCATGGTTTGTGCATTCCCATTAACATGGAAAGGTGGGAACTAAAGCTAGTGGCAGTATTTTGCATTTGATAAGCATAAATCCAACTCCTGTGCACTGTAGGCTGTATGCTTGATACCATTCCTATCTTTTTTTTCCAGTGTATTCTAATTGTGTGCATATTTATGGGGACACTTCTAGCTCCATTGAGCTCTGTAAGGGTAAGGTCTATATCTGACTTTGAGATCTTTATAACTTTAACTCCTACTATGGTGTTGGTTAAGGAGGTCTGGTAGTGTAGTGGTTACGAAGTGGGCTGTGAACCGCAAGGTCAGCAGCTCGAAACTACCAGCGGTTCCGTGGGAGAAAGATGAGGCGTTCTGCTCCCGTAAAGATTTACAGCCTCGGAAACCCTGTACAGGATCACTATGGGTTGGAACCGACTCCACGGCACACAGTCACCATGGTGGTGGTTGTAAACGTGCCCTGGAGTCAGTTGCACCTAGGGTTTCTGAGGCTGTAACTTAAACCAGCAGGGCGCCTCAGGTTTCGTCTGAGGAGAGGCTGGTAAATTCAAAATACTGACCTTGTAGTTAGCAGCCCAACTCATAACCCACTGTGCTACCAGGGCTCCTAAATACTAATATAAGGCCTGGCAGAGAGTGAAAAAACAAAAACAAAACAAGTGCCAACAAATGAATTGCAACTCATGTTGACTACATATGTTTCAGAGTAGAACTGTGATTCATAGGGTATTCAATGACTGTGAACGTTAAGAAATAGATTGCTAGCCAAGTATTTCTTCTGAGGTGCTTAGGTGGATTTGAACTGCCAGCCTTCAGTTAGTAGCTGAGTGTTTGACCATTTGTGCCAACCAAGGGCTCCTGGCATATCCTGCTCATTAAATGTGTGTGTGTGTGTGTGTGTGTGTGTGTGAGTGGATAAACAGCAAACAAACCCTGGCAATAACAGAAAGGCACCAATATAAAGATTCCAGGCCTTTCTAGGTCAGGAAACCAAACTGCCTGTAGGAAAAGTTAGAAGAGCCTTCTTAGAAGAGGTATCCTGTAAACAGAGGCTCTCCAGTTGGAAAAGCTTGGCAGGCCAGTATAGACAGTAGCAGAGTTGGCCTCACAGATGTTAGAGAGGAAGCCACAAATGAAAAGAAGGATTGCAGCCACCCATTTCCGGGCAAGCTCTTTTTGGCCAGCATGAGCAGCATTCCTTTGAGATGAGTTTAAGTGGAATTGTCGGCTTAGGTGGCAGAATAGAACTTGGAACAAACTGCTCAGCAGAAAAGAACCCAGAAACAATGGGGCTGGACCCAACTCCCTTTGCCAGCTCTTGAGTGCATGGAATATTGGAGCTCAGCAGGGCTTTGGCGAAGGAAATGAAATGTGGTTTTTAGGTTTGTACCACTCCAGAGAGACCAGAGAGAAATCCCCATGTTCAGACCTTTGAAGATGGGCTGAAATAACTTGGAAATGTCCTGGCTTATTACCATGAATTAACTTTACTATCTTGTCCTGCTTCTTTGTCATGGATTCTAGCAAGGACAAGTGAAGGTTTGTTACCCTTAAAAAGATGGGGGAAGGCCTGAACACCACAGAGGGTTAAAAAGAACTCCTTTATCAAGAGAGGTTGAAGGATACTTCAGAGATGGGAGTAGGGCGGGGAGAGGGAGGGCGTTGGTGGTAGGATTCAGGGCTCTGTGTAACTGACCTGGGAGAGATGGTTGTGGAGATTTAAGAGGAGCACCTGGTGGAGACAGGATGCAGGGCAAGAGATTCAAGGAAAGAGGTACCTTCATGGAGAATGATACAACCACAGAGAAAACTGGTCTACGTGCTAGCCTGACCTGAGTCTTTTATACATGCTCACATTCTGGGAGAATGCCACCGATCACACTGAAAAATGCAGAGGGGAATTTTGCTGTCTCAGCCCTCAAGTGCTGTTCTTTCTCTGCATTTTCCCAGGTCAATAATTCCTTCAAGACACTGACCTGTTGATGGACATTCAAAAAAGGGAGGACTGCATTCCAGTTATTGATATCTCTTCTAGATTATTAGGGGGTTGAAGGCAAGAATCACAAATTTCCCAACTTTGAATAAGGTGCATTGCTTTAAATATAGCTAAAGATGAGCAAAGGCAGGAAGGAAATCAGATCAGAGATGTTAAGGGCAGCTGGTGCCAGGCAGTACTACTCAACTGGGTCTGCTTCTCAAAAAATAAATGGGATCACAGAAGTTACCTAGGGACCCAGAGAGGTATCATTAAGGGTGGTTAGGGACAGCTTACAGTTAAGGAATAACACATAAGCTCTTCATTGGCCAGGACTAGGTCCTTGGTTTTGGGGTTGTTGTTTGTTTGTTTGTTTTTACATATTTAGGACTTAATAGCAATAGTGGAGGGTTGAGGACCAGGCAACCTTTAATGGAGAAACTATGAAGGAAGACAAAGAAGCTACTTTGTCTGGGCTCTATCCACTCCATGAGGCTGTGTCTGAGTCATTTCCTCAGTTTGTGACGGTTCTGCCCCCTGTTTTTAGAAGAAGGAAGTGGAAAGTTTAACACCTTACTTTACAGCAACTTTTCCATGTATGAAGATTCATTTCATTTTCAAGGCGTAATGGTTACGAATCGGACTGCGAACCTTAAGGTCAGCGGTTTGAAACTATCAGCCGCTCCGCGGGAGAAAGATGAGGCTTTCTACTCCCGTAAAGATTTACACCCTCGGAAACCCTGTACAGGGTCGCTATGGGTCGGAACCGACTCGACGGCACTTAACAACAACAACAACAACAGGGTTACTTAAATAGCAAAAGAAGACTTGTTAAGTCCCACCAAGTCAATTCCAACTCACAGCAACCTTGTCTGTATAGGGTTTCCCAGGAGCAGCTGGTGAGTTTGAACCACATGAACCACAGATTTTGTGGTTCGAAGTTCAGCGCTGATCCCACAATGCCACATGAGTCCAAAGTAGACTTGGTTAGTTATGTGCCATGGAGTCGATTTCGACTCATACAGACTCTATCTATATAGGGTTTCCCAGGCTGTAAATCTTTACCGGAGCAGAAAGTCTCATCTTTCTCCCATGGAACAGCTGGTAGTTTCAAACTGCTGACCTTGAGGTTAGAAGCCCGACTTGTAAGGATTACGTTATCAGAGCTTAGTAAAGACATTTCAGATCCCACTCCTTTGGTAGGTGACCTATTCCTTTGATCAGGGATAGAAGTTAAGGATACACTGCAATCATCATCCAGTCTCAAGTCAGGGCAGGGGTGACTATTAAAATGTATGTCTTTCTCATCCATCATGCTGGGAAATTAACAGGAGCAATTTATCCCTAGAATCATGTAAGATATAAATTCGCCAGTTTACACTTGAGAAATCTGAGGATCAAACTAATTTTACTTTGGTAGACATGCCTAGTAGATAGTGGAGCTGGGGCTCTTACCTACTTGCAGGCTTCTTAAAGATATTAGTAAACGGTAACTAAAACTTAAGCCAGTTGCTGCTTTCACTTTTGTAATAATCATCTCGTAAAACTAAAAGCAATAGTTTCCATACCAGAGGCGAGCAAAGCGGAAAAAATAATCTGATTTAACAGAGCCTCTCCGTTTACCGAAAGTTCAAACAACTATAAGGCCACAGTTCACTCTAGACTGGCAGACACACGTGTATCCTACGCATGCGCCGAAACGAGTTGCACCCAATCCCTCCGGCAGGACCTCTTTAGCCGAGTCACCAACCAGCCCTCTTAGAAGCCCGCCCTCAAAGCCAAACCCTCGACCAATCGGGAGACCTCAGTTATCAGCTACGTCACACTTTGCATATACCCTCCTCTCTCCACCTCACGTCAGAGCCCCGCCCGTCTGAGACACGGATTGTCACCAAAGCGCTCCGTCCGGGCACCTGATTGGCTCTTCGTCCAGCCCCGCCTCTATCTCCTCCCGCCGCTGCTCCTCCGCACTCCCACAGCAGCGGGCGGAGCTAAGTACGCAGGCGCGGGCACTGCCTCTCTCTCTTCTGGTGGCCCGCCCTCCCTCCTCCCCCTCCCTCCCCTCCCTCCCCCCTTTCCCTTCTTCTCCCGGTCTGCGCGCGCGCGCATCTTCCTCCTGCATGCGCTGCAGCTGGTCGTAAGCTCTCGCCAGAGCCTCTGGCCCGCGCGTTCCTTTTCCCCTCCGACAGTGGAGCGGGCGACATCCAGCACCGCGGTCGCTCAGGCAGCGGCTGTAGCGGTGATCTCGGGCGCCGACCGCAGCGCGCGATCCCGCAGGCGGACCGTACCACTGCCCTCCAGCACGCGGGGGGGAACCGCCCGCTCCGCCGCGCTCGCCTTGGCGACCCCGCGAGGCTGAGGCATCGCCGCGCCCGGGAGCGTGAGCACAGATCCGGCCTCGACCCCGAGCTCGGAGCCCCGCGGGCCGCGCCCGCCGACGGCCCCACCCATCCGGGCCGAGGAGGCCGCGGCCATGGCCGAGACGGAGGAGCGGAGCCTGGACAACTTCTTCGCTAAGAGGGACAAGAAGAAGAAGAAGGAGCGGAGTAACCGGGCGGCGAGTGCCGCGGGCGCGGCGGGCGGCGCTGGCGGGAGTGGTGGATCGGCCGGCGCGGCGAGCGGCGGGGCGACCGCGGGGGCCCGGCCGGGTGACGGCGGGACGGCGGGGGCTGCGGGCCCTGGGGCCGCCACCAAGACCGTGACGAAGGTGAGGGGCTGGGGCGGCTAGGGCCGCGCGCGCCCGCCCATGCTCTCGCCCTCCTGGGGAAGCGGCCGGGGCATGGGGGGGGGGGTTGCCGAGCGGCGGGCGGACGGGCATCGAAGCCGCCACGTGACGCGGCTTCCCCTTACCGGCCGGCGGGTCGCTCGGCAGCTGGGACCCCCTCCGCCGTCCGCCACCCCACGTGGCTCGGCTATAGCCTAGACTGGGTCGTCTGCAGCCCCAGAGGACACTTGGTCTGGGTCTCCAGTGCCCGGTGTCGAGCTGTATTTCCCGAATGACGTCTGGTCTGAGTAATTGGGTGTTCGGACTGAAGCCCGCTAACTTGAGCTGACTTATTTTTTAGCAACTGCATTTATGGTATTTCTATCGATATGACTCGGTCACTAAGCTCCTAAAAAAAAGACATTTAAAAAGTCTGATGGCAGCGCTTCGGTAGACATTTCGTGTGGAGTTACTAGCGACTTCATTTGGCTTTGCTTGGTTGCTTTAAAGTACCAGCTCTTAAGAAGGAATCAGGTGGAAGTAACAGTGTTTGGCTGCTTGGCACATTTGTCCTCTAGTCCAAGAACGGTGCAGCCAAGGACTCAGCCAGAAAAATGAGTCTCACCTTAATTTAGGTTTCAGCCACTCTAACCAGCTGTTCCGCCTGAGAAAGATGAGGCACATTACTTTTTTGTCGTCTGATATTTGCCATATTTGTATGTTTCTAGGTAGCTTTCATTCAAATGGTATTTGTTTTACAGGATGAAGATGAATGGAAAGAGTTTGAGCAGAAAGAGGTTGATTACAGTGGCCTCCGAGTTCAGGCAATGCAGATAAGGTATGGTCTGGTTCCAAATATGTCTAGATATATGTTTAGGAGTTCTAGTGGTACAGTGGTCAAACACTGAGCTAGCCGTAAGGTTCTAGGTTCAAACCCACCAGCCACCTTACAGGAGAAAGATGAGGTCGTCTGCTTATGATTAAAGTCTTGGAAAACCTATGGGGTTAATTCAAATTTTTGCTTTGGTTTTAGTATGGGTTTTTTATTTTCTTATCGTCAAAGCCCTGGTGTAGTAGATTACAAACTAGGCTGCTAACTGCAAGGGCAGGAGTTTGAATTTACTCTTGTAGAGATTTACAGCCTCTGAGGCCCCATGTCAGGTTACTATGAATTGGAACTGAAGTCCTAGTGTGGCACTGTAGGATAAGCATTGGACTGCTAGCTCCAAGGTTGGTGATTCAAACCCACCAGCTGTTCCTCTGAAACCCTGTGCTGGTCTGGCACTTAGCAACAACATGTTTTAATATGTTTATTAGGGTGTTCCTGGACTGTGTGTTGCACTTCTCTCTGTGATAGTAGTGGAGTCATTTCACATGTGAAACATACTCATCACATGAGCTGCCAGTGTCAGAGTCCCTGGAGAGCTTGCCTACTTCCAGGCCAGGTTAGGCCTTTTGTTTTCATTGTCATGGTTAAAACGGATTTGTCTTTAAATTTTTTTTTTACTTTGAATATTGGTGAGATGAACATTTTTTTCTTTTAAAAAAGAATGTGAAAAAATAATAATGTGGACATACTTCAAATCATTTCTAATTTGATTAATATGCACTTTTGTAATTGAAGTACAGCTTTGTTAAGTGTGTTGAGTCAGTTCCAACTCAGCGACCCTTTATAGAGTTACTGAGGAGCGACTGCTGGGTCTCAACCACCGACTTTGCGGTTAGCACGCCAGTGTTTATTCTACAGTGCCACACCAGGACTCTAAGGACAGCTTTTTGTTGTTGTTAAGTGCTGTTGAGTCAATTCTGATTCATAGTGACTGAAGTCTAGGGTTTCTGAGGAGCCACTGGCAGATTTGAACCATATACCTTGTGGTTCAAAACGACTTGTGATCCAGTACAGCACCATATCAGGACTCCGTAAGTAACAGAAAAGTACAGATGTGGGTTCCCAGTTTCTAGTAGTCCATTTTAGGCTGATACGTACATGTATTTTGGGGTTTAGCAATGTAGGAAATAAAACAGATAAGTATATGATTCCATTTAAGATGAAAAATCTTTTTTCATATTAAAGAAATGATGTTCATTAACAATTGGTGTACAATGATGTTGCACAGTGAAGGAAATGATTTCCTTAACTAAAAGCTGTCTTTTGATGTACCTAGATAACTGTTTTACGTCTTACGTTGATTACTCGCTCAGTGTATGACATTTGTTGAATATTTACACATGGGTTAAGCATTATGTCCCGCATATTTCACATACATAGTTCAGGAGTTTAAAGTGAATTTTAATTTAGGTTGGGAAGCTTAAGAAATGTGATTTTCTCCACTATAAGAAGGATGTGTGATTAGACTGGTATTTGGTTTCCAGCTACTTGAGGACTTCCTTTCTTTTTCAAATATATTTGAAGTGGTACAATTTAGAAAATTTGCCGGTTTTCTTTTTCCTGGGTATTAATCTGTAAAGCTAACTAATGGGGTAGCAGATGTGAGGTTTTACCATCTGGAGTTGTGGAGCTGCCCGTCTTGTGGCTCCTGTGCTCTCTTGCAGGCCCTGGACTACAGCTTCTGTTAACCATGAATCACAGGAAGTTAAGGGTTTGGCCATTGAACTTATTGAACAAGAGTAGCACTTCTTAGAGAAAAGGGTGTCTCAAGTTTTACCGATGTTTGCTGAATTAACACGAATATTTAACCGGAACTTAAGTTTTCTGTCATTAAATATAGATTCCATATCCATATTTAGGATTATCTTAATCTGTATTGTAATTTAGCTCTTTCTGGCATGATGAAACATTAAATAACTTGTATTTATTTTTTTCAGTAGCATAAGTACATCTTGACTAATGTAAGCATGTAAGTTCTGGTTGGCCTATGCATGGGTTTGGATTTATGGCAGGCCCGTCCCCATGGACCTCTCATAGTGTCCTATGCTAAAGCAAACAGTAGCCCTGAACCATTGCCTGGCCTCCTTGCCCATAGGCTTGGGCGCTGAAGTGGGTTGCACAGTACCGGGGAATAGTTCTTACCATGAAGTTGACCGGCTTTTAAATTGCACATAAATATTTTATATTGCATATGGTCATTTTCCTTAATTGGTTGTCCTAGAGGTCTTCCTTTAACCTGCTAACACTGAAAAATGTCCTTGGCATCTCCTTAGGAAGCTCCTCAACCCACAAGCCGCTCCTTGGAAACCCTGTACAGGGCACTATGGGTCAGAACCAAATCGATAGCACTTAACAACAAACACTTGGACTGATCTGTGTTTCTTTTTAACTTTTTTATTGTGATTTGTGTGAAAGTTTACAGTGGAATCTATTCCTTTGCTTTCACAACTCATTTAATAAAGTGCAAGCTAACAGATTCTAGGGAAAAAAGCTCAAGGGTAAAAAGTCAGATAAGCTTTACTAATGGCTAACTCTTTGACTTTATATGATGAATAAGGGCAGTGCTGGTACAAATGGTAGAATTTCTGCCTTCTATATTGGAGACCTGGATTTGATTTCCTGCCAGGATGCCTCAAGCACGCCACCTCTTTTCTGTCAGTAGAGGCTTGTATGTTCCTGAGATTATGAACAGATTTCAGCTGAGCTTCCTTACTAAGATGGGAAAAAGACCTAGTGGTCTTCAGAAAATCAGCCATTGAAAATCTTGTGGATCACAACATTCAGTGTCCATTGTCCATGGGTTTGCTTTAAGTCAGGACTGAAATGATAGTAGCTCCCATGTTGAATATACTTGTAAATTTTTTATTAAACCTTTTTTGACAGTAAAACTCAATGTGGTTGGGAGGTATTCAAGGAAAGAGGGTTGTTGGAGTAGAGAGGAAGATGCTTACATAAATGGGTGGAGTTGATATAAGGTTCCCATTTAATCTTTCAAATTGATATTGTCAGTTTGACCACATATATGTTGTTGTGTGCAGTTGAGTCAGTTCCGGCCCATAGCGACCCTGTGTAGGGTTTCCAAGGAGCGGCTAGTAAGCTTGTACCACCGACCTTGTGGTTCAAACGACTTTGTAGTCTAGCACATTTACCCACATTGCCACACCAGGACTCCTTGACCCCATATAGATGGAGCATAATAGTGCTTAAGGTAGGTATTCTTTACTAGTTAAGCTAAACACCTGTTTGGTTTTAAGATAACTTCAGGGGATATTTTTGGTTTAAGGTTTAAAGATTATCTCAGGGCATTCATTTCAGGGGTTCAGCCACCCTCTGGCTCCATGAGAACTTGAAATTGTTCTGCATTTCTTCCCCCTTTGATCAGGATTCTTCTATGGAATCTTAGATTAAAATGTTCAGTAATGATAGTCACATACCATCCAGTTTTGGTGTCTAGGCACAGGAGGCAGTTGTACATGATAGTAATAAGCCACGCATTCTGTATCCTCCCATTTCTGCCTCTCCTCCCTCTCTCGCTCCAGGTGAATAGAAACCAGTTGTTCCTTGGAGAGCAGCTTGCAAGCTTTTAAGGTCCCAGGCACTATCCAGTGAATCAGGAGATTAGAAGCGCTAAACCTGTTTATTAGGCCAATGAGTCCATTATCTTGTAATGCCATTTTTTTAAATGTCATTTTACCATTAACCCTCCTGGTGTGGCATTCCAGGATGAGTACTGGACTACTAACCTTAAGTTCGGTGGTTTAAACCCACTAGCTGTTCCTTGGAAACCTTAAACAGGGTTGTCTTTTTATATAAATGAGGCTTTACAATATCAGTCTTTTTGTGATTGGCTAATTTGGACAGCAGCATAATGTCTTTAAGCTGCATCCATACTGTAGGCTGTGTCAAACTTCATTTAAACAGAAGGAATTGAATGCAGGGGACTGGTAACAGTGGTGAGGGCAGGGGTTGAAGAGAGGCTGGTGAGCCATGAGCAGGAATGGTAAGCTAATGCTGCCACCTCCAGGTTGGAGGGATGACGCTAGAAGGAGACACCTGACCAAAAGGCGGTGGGAGACTTGGAGAAGGCGATAAAGACACTGCCAGAGAATGCTACACCAGGAAGCAGTATGAAGCACCAAGGTTGGAGAAAGAAAAATTGGCAGTATTAACATCTCCTCAGATTTTGTGGTCTCAAAGACTTTCAGCCTCTTCCTAGGACCCTTTCCTCACAATAGCCCCTTCCTTGGACTGCTGAGCTTCCCCTTCTCTTGAGGACCCTCCCTTAAAAAAGCAAAATCAAAAACTTAGCCATCTTCTTGAACTCCTAAGTCCTTCTTTTTTTAAAGGCTTCACCTCCCAGCTATTTTAGGGGAGCTGGGTCCTGCATCTCCCCTCAGCTGGGGGTCTCAGGCCTTATTCAAGGCATGTGAGTACCTGTGGCTGGATGGGCTAGCCTGGAGAAGAAAGGGGTGTGGGATCAGCAAATAAAAATGTGGAGAGGGGTGGGGGAGAAACTCATATCTTTAATATTTTCCACAAACTTTTTGAAGCCTCCTTATATGTATATATCATAATATGCTTATCCATTCATCTGTCAATAGGGATTTGTTTTTTTCTTTTTGGCAGAGACTTTCAAGCCTTTAGGATGTATCTCTAGGAGTAGAATTTCTGAGTCGTATGGTAGTTCTATAGTTAGTCTTTTTAAGGAACTGCCACATAGTTTTCCACAATGGCTATACCATTTTTCATTCCAACCAGTAATGGATAAGAGTTCCAATTTCATCGTGGCTAACATCTATTGTTTTGTTTGTTATTAGCCATCCTAGTGGGAGTGAAATGCTATCTGGGTTATGGTTTTGATTTTCAGTTGGCTATTTTTTTCTATTCATGAGAGACCCAATGTGCTATCTCACTATAAACAGGAAAAAGGGAAAAGAAAAGTTCAGAGC